AAAGATTAAATTTATTTATTTATTTGAAGGACTGGGGTTAGGGTTAGAGTGGAGATTAGAGAACAACTTACAGGAGTCTGTTCTCTCCTACTATGTTGGTCCCAGGGGATCAAATGCAGGTAATGAAGCTTGGTAGCAAGTGCCTTTAACCAACAAGCCGTCTTACCAGTCCTACTTATTTATTTTTTACAGATGTGTTTTATTAAGCTGAGGAAATTTCTTCTATTTCTATTTTTTTGAGTTCTTATTTTTAAAGAATAAAATTGTGAATGTTGAATTTTGTTTTCTGTATTAATTAATAAGATAATGGGATTTTCTCCTTTGGACAGTTAATATATTATATTACATTGATTTTCCAAGCACGAAAACAGACTTGATCCTTTGAATAAATCCTACTTTGTCATGGCATAGAATTGCTTTCATATATTGCTGAATTCTATTTGTGTATATATTCTGAGGGTTTTTGCTTTCGTATTCATGAGAGGTTTTTTGTTTTGTTTTTTTTTTTAAATATACTCTATCTAATTTGAGGATCAGAGTGAAATGAGTTTCATAAAGCCAAACTGGGAAGTGTTTTTCCTCTTCGGTTTTCTGGAAGACTGTGTAGGATAGGTGTTAATCCTTCCTTAAACAAGTAGTGTAATTTTCTAGTGAAGCCATCTGGGCCTAGAGATACCTTCTGGAGAGTTTCAAAATTATGAATTCAAGTACTTCGTTAGCTATGGACTGTTCCGATGATCTGTTTCACGTTGAGTGAGTTGTGGAGTTTGTGTCTACTTCACCCAAGCCTCTAGGTGCATGTTGGGGGGCTGCTTGTAGTGTGTCTTGTTATCCTTCTGATGTCTGCAGGGTCTGCAGAAGTGTCCTCTGCCACCCTGGCATTGGTGTTTTGTGTCTTCTCACTTGTCTTCACCCAAGCCCAATTCAATTTTGGCCCCCCATCCTATTTCTGAGCAGGGCCCCGCTACCTGTGTGGTTCTCCTAGGGGGTCTCTCTGAACTGCCCAGGCACAGAACTTGTACAGTTAACGGACTCTCCAGTTTAGGTCCTGCCTTCTGCATCCTGTACTTTTCCCACTTGTAATTGTTTTAAACATTTTCTCCATGTATAATTTTTTATAGTTTTTTTGAGACAGGGTTTCTCTGTAGCCCCAGCTGGCCTGGAACTCTTTAGTGCTGGGACTAGAGGTGTGCACCACCATACCTGGCTTCCATGTACATTTATAATCAAATGAAGCTGTTACAAATTTTACTTTTTTCATCAAACATAATTTGGAACACTTGTAAGAAGGAATATTAACACATTATTTTTGCTTAGTTTTCCTTTCTTGTATTTTGAGATGCTTTTCATCATTTCTGCATAAAAAACTCTATTAACCATTCGTTTAGGATAAATCTGCTGGCGACCAATTTTTAGTTTTCCTTTTTTCTGAGAAAGTCTTGACAGGAGGGTGTTTCGCTAGACAGACGACTCTAGGTGAATGGTTCTCCCAGCATCTAAGGTCATCCAGGAGACATCTGCTGCCATTTGCATTGTTTCCACCTGGGCATGAACTACTGTTTTCCTTTTCCTTTTAAGTCTTCAGCATTCAAAGGTTTGACTATATCCTGATGTCAATTTCTTTGTTTATCCTTTTTTTTGGTCTCAGTTTCTTGAATTGTAGGCTTATGTGTTTTGCCATAATTGGGTTTTCCATCTGTTATTTGAGTTGATTTTTCTGCCCATCCCACCCTATCCTTTCTTTCCAGAATTCTGATGACATGGATTCTAGCACAAGCTCCTCAGGCTCTGTTCAATTTTTGGTCTCTTTTCCTTCTCTTATTCAGTGTCTATGATTCTGGCTTCCTGGCAGTCATTGTGGGTGACTCCAGGTGGCTTCTCAGCATAGGCTTCTCATCATAAGGCCATGCGCCCCATTCACACTCCATGTCTCTGTGGAGCAGTGGGCCTCAGATGCATTGTGGAGATTTTAGGGACAGCTAGGCTGTCTGAAGCGACCTATCTCTCTCCTGCCCCCCTGGCTAAGAAACCCAGGCCTGGGATGAGGCTCCCTTTGCCACTGCAGAGTTTCCCAGCTGTCACTTCTTGAACCCTGTTCGAGGTGAGGCACGCTCCTAGTCTCCAAGGTGGTGGCTGCACCAGGTTCTGAGAGTAATTTAGTTAATTTCATTTAAAGTTTATAAAACCCATTATCTGGTTAGTGGCAGTGGGGGTCAGGCCCTGAGGACCAAACTGTGTCTGCCCAAGACCCAGAGCCACACCCATGCCCCTTGGAGGAAAGCGATGGGTGCTGCCACAGCAGCCCCAGACACAGCAAGGTGGGTGCTGTGTTTGCGCCATCTGACCCTGCAACTGCCTGGATAGTGGCATAGTTACCTTCTCTGTCACCAGTTTCTCTTCTGCCACTTCGGGAGCCAGGAAGAATGAGTTGTAGGAACCTAGAAGAGAAACCACAGCTCCGTTTTCCTTACCACCCTGGTAGACGATGTTGGTCTTCTGCCCTGGGGGTAACCCGTACACACCGTTGGTAGGGGGTGGTCCAAAGAGCACAGCCCCGTCCTCGGCCACCAGCACATTGTCCAGGCATAGGCAGGCTGCAACAGAGAGGATGAGGGGCACAGCTGCACTTGGGCAGCTCCCTTACCCCAGCATCACCCAGGGGACTCTAGGGCCCACAGAGGTCCCAGAAATACTGATCAAAACTGAACAGGCACTGGAGGACCATTCCTTCCATCCCACCAAGGAGAGTAAAGCTGTGGGAAATACTGCCGGGGACATCACCCTCATCAAGTTTAGAATAAACAGGAGGTTGGTGGGGACACGGCCCACACTGTTCTGCCCCTGGGAAAGGTGGGGTGAGGGAGACGGGGCTGGTGACTATCCCCTACAGACTCAAATTTCCCAGATTCAGGGCTGAGAGGCAGCTTAGCAGCAGATTGTCCCTAGAGCAGAGGGCAGTATTTGTCTGAAGGCCACTACCTGGTCTTCTCAGACACTGCCCCTATTACTGCCCCACGGTACTTTGAAAGTACAGATGAGCTAGCTGTCCCTCTGTCCTGCTATGCAGCAGGGTTGAACTTGAATGATCACAAACTAGTGAGACATCTGAGCCCTTTCCCACCTCCCAAGCCAAGGTTTGACTTCCTTTGGACAGTGTCACCCAGTTGAAAATTTGAGGGCTGGAGCTACTCCTCCAAGGCAGGAGTCACTGCTTTTAGGTTTATGTTGTGGGTAGTCACCTTCACTGCCTCTGTGGATCTTGAGACCAGAGGTGCTTCCCCAGCTTTCCCTAAAGTACCTTGCCTCCATCAGGCTGGGCCATGGCCTCTGGTTCACAGAGTGGACATCATATCCCTCCCTCCCCAACTGGTTTTGGGCCGGGGGCTCAGGCAGAGCAGGGTAGTGACTCATCACCTGGGTGCTTGCTGTGTGTCTGCAGAGTGCTGAGGCAGGAGAGGCACAGGGCCCACAGCTCGTACTCCCTGAAGGGCCGACCTAGCTTGGACAGTAGGTCCTGAAGGGACAGGCTCTGTAGGAGGAGAAGGATCACATGAGAATGTTCTGCCCTCCTGGTGCCAGGGAAAAGCTTCCATGGAAAATAACAGCAAATACTGCTTCAATTTCTACATGTAGCACTTCCTATACAAGAGACTGGGAGAGTCCTTCAAAGTCAAAACAAGTATGGATGAGGGTGTGGAGAAACTGAAGTTCTCATCCACAAAATGGTGCGGCTGCCATGGGAAATGATGGCTGTTCTGCAAGAAGTACAGAGTCACTCTAAGATCCAATGATTCTCTTTCTGGGTACCATAAGAACTGAAAGGAAACTGGAGCAGACAGTTGTCCACCCAGGTTCAAGGTAGCATCAAAAAAAAACCAAGAGGTTTTTTTTTTTTTTTTTTTTTTTTTTTTTTTTTTTGAGACAGGGTTTCCCTTTGCCCCC